CGGGGAGGTGCGTCCGGAGGAGACCGGCGCGGGGTGGGGAGCGCGGGGCCCGGGCGGCAGGGGCAGAGGTCGCTTCTCCCTGGCAGGTCGCAGGGAGAAATCCGAGGAGCCGCTGACGTCTCGCCACCACGGGGGACGGGGCGCTGGGGCCCTGCCTTCCCTCTCAGGGTTCAGGGAAGGGTAGGGCGGAGGGTGGATGGGCAGTGTCGCGGGTAGGCTGGTGAGAGGGGAGGTGGCAGTGTGTTTGGGGGTAATGCCAGGTGGAAGGGGCACGTGGAGGCAGAGGCTGTGCTCCGGGGGGGTGGGGTGGGGGCAGAGGAGCGGTGCCCAGGAAGGGGGGCGGTGTCCGGGAAGAGCTGGTGTCTGAGGGGGTGGCCGGCACGAGGAAGAAGGGGCATGTAGATCGGCGCCCAGAGCGAGCGGGCAGTGTAGGGAACGGGCAGTGCCAGGCCGAAGGGACAGTGTCGGGCAGGGTCCAGGGCTCCGGGTCTTGGTATGTGGCGGGGAGGGTGCAGTACCGGAGAAGAGGACCCACGGTGACATCATGGCAAGTCCCCAAACTGGACAGACCTGGCTCGGGTGGCGTCCAGCAGGGCTGGGCCGGCTCGGGCCGGCCTGAGCGGGGGGCGGTGCTCAGTGCCAGCTGAAGCTGCGGGGCGCGGCGCCTTGTCCCGCTAGCACGCGGGCGGGGCGGGGGTGTGTGCTTCTGCTCCGCCCGCTCCAGCGCGGACTGTGTCCTCAGCAGGCACGAGGGCCAGCAGGGTAGGGCTAGGGCCGGGCTTCTCTGGGCCAAGGATCAAGGTCCTTGCCTGGGATGGGCCCCTATGCATTAGTCTTGAGGACCCGACCTCCGAAGAGGGCGCAGCGGAGCCCTAAAGGAGCGCGAATAACCCTGCCACTTGGGCCAGAGGCGGGACTGTGTACCCGCCCAGGGGCGGTGCCACGGAACCCAAGAACCGCCCTCAAGGCTGAAGCCTCCCGGAGCGGTGACTCGGGGCGGAAGTTAATACGCCCCGACAGAGAGAGAAACGGAAGTGGAGGCCTGCTGCAAGTTACCGCGCATGCGCTAGCCCGCGGCCTCGCTGCAGCGCTTGACTGTCTAGGGTACTTTCCCCTCGTTTCTTTTTCTCCTCCGCGCGAGGGGGTACGCGCATTCCCAGTCTTGGTCGCGCTCTCCGCACCCCATCAGTTTTCGTGGCCCCCTCACGATGGCGGGCATCCTATTTGAGGATATTTTCGATGTGAAAGACATTGACCCGGAGGGCAAGAAGTTTGACCGAGGTAAGTCAGGTATACCGGGGCGGCTTGAGTGGGGAGAGCGTAACCCCTGCGGGGACACGCCTCCGGACCCCAGTCGCCGGGTCACGTGACCTGCGCCCGCCCGCTGGCCCTGTGGTCCGGGCCCCTGCAGGGTGGCAAGACTGGTGTTCCCTGTGCCGCGTGCAAACCCCAGGACATGCGGTTCTCGGTCATCACCACCGTTACCTGCTCTGTGCCAGACATGGCACTGGGCGCCGCACACCCCCCCGGCCTCACTCCTTAACAGCACCCAAGGGGTAGGAGATACCGACTTTCCCGTAAATTTGCACCGAAAGGTTAAGTGACGCGTTCAAGGATGCACAGCAAATCATCTGACTTCAGAGCCTGTGTTTCTGTATTCCAGAGCTGTGTGCTCGATCAGTTACACAGTTACGCCTTTCCTGGGCCTGGCGATGGAGCAGTTCTCTGAGACAGACGCCAGTTCCCCGTCCTGATGAAAGACTCAGCTTATGAATGAATGAATGAATAGCTGCCCAAAGTCAGGTTGTTTCTTAGCCACCTAGGCAGGGTTGGAACCTGTTAACTCCTTCTGTGAATACTTAAATTTGTTTTTTAATTTGCAGAAAGTTTACACTGTAAATTAAGTTCCCCCTTGACAATTTGTGCAAAACTTGTTTGGCAACTTGAATCATTTTCTTTCTGTTTTAAAAAGTTTTATTAGCACTTCATCCACGTGTCATACAATTCAGTAATTCCATCATACCAAGACTTGTACAATTATACCACATTCAGTTCTAGAACATTTTCGTCTTTCTTGTAATTGTTATTCATGTAATTATTTACTTTTCTAATTGTGGCAGAAATATACACAACAAAACATTCTCCGATCCCACAACTTCTACATGTGCAATTCAGTGCCATTGACTATAGTCTTCGTGTTTACAACCATTATTGATATCCTTTTCCAAATTTATTCCACCACCACTAACATAAACTCAGTGCCCCCTAGACCTTGACTCCTTTTCTGGAGATGCTGATACCTTGGGATGGTTTTCCTATGTGCATGTGGAGTTCTGATGGTGTCTGCCCTTGCCTAGGAGAGGCCAGCGGGCACAGGCTAGGGAGACTGAGGTTCTGCCGGATATGATCCTGCCTGGACCTGCTAGTTAATGACTTTTAATGACCTCGGTCATGCTTCCTCTACTTCCTCCCAGTGTCTCGACTCCATTGTGAGAGTGAATCGTTCAAAATGGACCTCATCTTGGATGTAAATATTCAGATTTACCCTGTGGACCTGGGTAAGTGCTGGTCACCGACAACAGTGAGGGGCCTTTTACCCATTCCACCATCTTCACCTTCAAAGGTTGCCATTTTTTCAGGTGACAAGTTCCGTTTGGTCATAGCCAGTACCTTATATGAAGATGGCTCACTGGATGATGGTGAATACAACCCCACAGACGATCGGCCTTCCAGGTAAGAGAGTCGAGCAGTGAATGCTAGACATGTACTCAGAAGACTAGGGAGCTGAGCGCTATAGGAAATTTCCCACTTTTTTCGTGGAACAAATAGCTGAATCTGGGTGACGGAGCCCTAGTGGTCTAGTGGGTGTACACGTTTGCGTTGGTAACTGCAAGATCAGTAGTTTGAACCCAGCAGCTGCTGCTCAGGAGAAAGACGTGACTTGCTACTGCTGAACTCAGTTACACACTCCCAGAAACCCAGAAACGGGGGCTGAGGTGGGGGCGGTTTGTCCTATCCTGAAGGGTCAGAACTGACTCTGTGGCAGTAAGTGTGGTTTTAGTATTTCATCAAGAAGCGTGGCTGCATGTCTGTGAGTTGTTCTTTGAGGGCTGGGTGACCTTGGCTATGTGGGCTTTGGGTCTTGAGAGGGAGTGTGGTGTGTGGAAAGGCTTTGGGGGTGAGTGGGGGTGGTCCATTGAGTTCATATCTCAGTTCTACTTCTTAATTTCCTCATTAGTAAAGTAGAGAAAGATGGTTGTACCCAGCCCAGGTCACAGGGTTGCTGTAAAGACTAAATGCCATCATACTTGTCAAGGGTCTGTTTTCAGAATACCAGCACTTGGTTACCAGTTGCCCTTTTCTTAAAGGTCTCTTAATGTTGGTTACTGTTCAGGAGAATTGCTGCTATTGTTCCACAGGGCGGACCAGTTTGAGTATGTAATGTACGGGAAAGTGTATAGGATCGAAGGCGATGAGACGTCGACGGAAGCTGCCACACGCCTGTAAGTTCTGTGATCTTGTGCGCAGCCCCCTCCCCTCCCTTGCCCCCAGTGTGAGACTTGGGGCCATGCTTATGCTTTCTTTGTTGGGGCCCTCTCCCCAAGCACTTCAGATTTAGGTGGGATCTGGGTAAAAAGAAAAACTGTCTGGGAACAGGTTCCTGCCTTACCATCTTCTAGCCAGAAATCTAGGCTGTTCATGGTGCTCTTTGCCAGGCCCCATGGGCACGGTGGTCTGAGCGAGAACTGGGTACTCTGGTTGCGCACAGCGTACAAAGTAGTGTTGCTTCCCCAGGAACGCGCTGCAGCACAAGGTGACTGCACTGCTGGGTTTTCTGTGTGCATGTGTGTTTTGCTACTATGCAACCCAATTCCTAGTTCAGTTTCTCTGCCCAACTATTTTTTCTTTTCTTTAAAATCTTATTAAAACGATATGTGCCCATTGAAAGAAATTCAAAAAGCCCAGAAAAGCGATGCCAAAAAAGGGGGAAAAAGACACTTATAATTCCATACCCCTAGGGAACCTTGTTCAAAATAAACATTGTTGAATTTTGTTAGCCCCCCCCCCCATTGTGCACTTTCTACTCCCTTGGAGATCATGTTGCTTATTACACTGTTCTTTCTGCGCCTTTCGCCTGATGCTATGTACAACACGCTTCCCCGTGTCAATTTAAAGCTGATCCAAACCATAACATTCCTGTAAATAGATCTTTTTCTTTTTTAGGCCTTTTTTTTAAAGCCCTGTTTTAAGAATTTAAAATTGTGTTGTTGTTGAGGATATAGATAGCAAAACATTCCCCAGTCAACCTTTTCTTCATTGCCCCTCTCCCGTGAACATGAATTCTACCCCAAACCCCAGGGAGGCGTGGTCATTTCCTAGGACCATGTAGGACAGAGTAGAACCGCCCCAGGGTTTCCGAGTCTGCAGCTCTTCGTGCCACGCCCTTCTCCCCCCCCCCCCCAGCAGCGTGTGGAGCAGCGGGTGGGTTCAGCCTCCCACCTTTGAGTTGGTGGCTGAGTGCTACAACCACGGTGCCACCAGTGCTCTTTAAGATACTTACTGCGCCCTCACTGTCCTATCCTTTGAGTTACTGTTCTCAGTTTGATCCCGAATGGATACATCAGTCCATTTGACTGTTTTCCTTAAACTGGCCATGTAGATGCTTTCCACCATTGCAAAGAGAGAGAACACTCATGCCTTCCTTGACATTTGTGTGAATTTTGGCTCATAACGACAAACTCTTTTCTTTCTGGTGCCGGGATGGCGAGCCCCTGAGTAGTAACTGTGCCAGACCTGAGACTCAGGGAGTGGGACCCTTTTGTTTCAGCTCTGCCTACGTCTCCTACGGGGGCCTGCTCATGAGGTTGCAAGGCGATGCCAACAACCTGCATGGATTTGAGGTGGATTCCAGAGTTTACCTGCTGATGAAGAAGCTGGCCTTCTGAACCACCTGGGACACCAGCCTGGCTGTTCAGTCTCTCAGGCCATGGACATTCCTGCCCCAGACTCCTGGCTGACTCGTCCCGCGAGGACATCGCCGCCCAGGCAACTTCTCAAGCCCGAGAAGCAGTTGCTGCTGCTCCTATTAAGGAGGGCCTGGCCCTCGGCCCACCATGGACGCTCCGTTCAGTGGGATCTGAACTCCCGGGGAACTGGAAGCCTTTGGAGGACCTAGTGGGAAAGCTAACATGAACTAGCAGATGTTCTGGGTGTGATTTGTTCATTAAACTTTACTTTTCCAGACTTCCTTGTACTTTATTTATTTATTTTTTTAAAAACCAAACTATTTTAAAACCACTCCTCCCCTCCTTTTGTGTATGGCATGGTTTCTGGTTCATGACCATATGCCCAAGGAAGGGTCTGCCCCAGCCTTTCGGTGTCTGAATCAGTCTCCTAGTTGACCAGTCCAACATTTGCCCTCCATTGTGGCTGGCTCTCGCAGGGAGAGAGAAGGCTGCTGTGCACTTGGCTCTGAGGGCATCCCAACCAAGGCCGGAAGATACCACCCATTTGGCATAGCATTTTGAATTGGCAAGGAGCCCTGCTCGTGTCCTTACAGCACTTGGAATCTCTTAAGAAGTCAGTTCACGGTGACTTGAATGAGTCACTTGCACAGCCCGGAAAAGTTTATGGTTTTTACAGAGTCTGGGTGGGGGCTGTTGGACACAGGCCTGGGGCCCAGTCTGTCTAAAGTCCGCGGGCAAGGACATGGCGGTATAGCAGAGGCATGTGGTGACCTGTGAGGGAGGATCAGTGGTGGTGCTTCTTAGCAGTGACACTGAGCAGGGAGCTGCTGGGCAGACAGTGCAGTGGACCGGGCAGCAATACCAATGAGGCTGGCAGGCCCGTGCCAGTGCAGCTGCCAGACTGTAGCCACTAACCTCTAAGTGGGGAAGAGAAATGTTGAAATGGTGCTGCTGACTCCTCAGAGCGCTCTCTGGGAAAGTGTCTTGGACTCTTTTCTCGCATAACAGCACAGAAAGAATCTTGGCGAGTGTGTCTTAAGACAGAGGTGGTCTCTTGTCCTCCTGGTTTTACCGTGGGAGCTGGCCACCTGCTGGGAGGCCGGCACTATTTCCTTCCCCGTCATTTGCAGGTCTTTTTCAGAGGTGTTAGAACCAGTATTGAGGGGAATGGGTTGAAAATGGATAGCCTCTGCAGGGGGGCTGAGAGGCTGTTCCTTTTTCCTCACTGGAGGGGGGTGGGTGGAGGGCCAGAGAGGAGGTACAGTGGTGGTGGGTAGTTTTTAGATGAGAATCCTAGGGTCTATGGAGTCAAGACTTTCGGGGCACTGGAGAAGAATGGATGGACTTAGGTTACAGTGAGAGGGCTTAATTACCAGTAATAGCTTGTGTGTTATCATAACAGGATGTCCTAGTGCCCTGGGGTAGTAGATGCAAGAGAACTGGCATCAGGTTCAATACGTTAAGTGTTCTGGTTTTAAAAGCTTTTTGTCTTGTGTGTCAGAGGGAAGGAGGGATGTCATGGGCCAGGCAGGGGTTGCAGCCTTCTCATTGCTGGCAGATGAGTTCACGCAGGCACAGCCCTGGAGTTCTGGGCACTTGCTGGTACCGGATAACTAAAACGACTAACTCCAGCCCTACTAGTGGCACTTTTGCTACCCTGGCCGTCGCAGACTGTGCTGAGAACCCAGAGTTCACTGTCTGGTTCCTGTGGCATGTTGGGTCCTGGATGCTGGCTCCTTCATGGGCCATAAAGTGCTTGCACATTAACTTGAACCTATTTCAGGATTTCAGCAAGAAAGAGTTTCCACTTCCCAGTCCCTTCGCTACAGTCTGGAATCCATGGTGCAGATGAACTAATTCCTCCCATGCTGAAATGCACACTAGCTGAGATGGGAAGACTTAGAGTTTGGTGATTTGTTGATTCCTTCACCATGGTAACTGTTTTGTCTCTGAAGGGAGCCGCCGCCACCGACACCTGGAGATGTCTACATTGGCCACCCGCACCATGAGTTTTTTGTTGTAACCTGGAACTCTTTAGCTGTTAGGTACATTTACTCCTTACAGGCTCAGGAATCTTTTACTGATGTCCAGACGCTGAGCAATCCGTGGGCCAGCATGGCAGAGTGGAGCCAGTGTGGACTGTGGAGTAAGTCAGCCCAGGGCTTGTCTCCCTAAAGGCTTAAAGGCTGGGTAACTGCTGGCAAGTCACTCGGTTTCTGTGCATCTCTTTCCGCATCTGTTCAGTCAAGGTAGTCTCTCCCGTCTGGGGGTGTTGTGAGCATTCTCAAAGGTGGTGCATTGATTATGGGCAGGATCTTCCAACTCTCGGCAGCAGATTATATGTCAGTTATATCTATGTCAATAAACTTGTTTTAAACGTTAACTCACATAAAGTTCCCAGCAGTGCCCTTGGATGCCTTTGGGTATTTAAGGTGGTATTTGGAACTCGGGGTGCTTGGCTGCTGGACCTACACAGTAACTTTAGTCCGTAGTCTCCTTTCCATTTGGCGTTGAGTGCTTTTTCTATAGCCGTCTATGGGCAGGTAGCAGGTTGACCCTTGGACGGCCGCGGTGTTTTTGTTTTGGGTCACTCACACCTCTTTTGGGCCCCGAGACCACATCAATGTTTATTTGCAACGTCCTGGCGCCTGCCTTGGGGCTAGTTTGCCGTGGCCACACGAGACCACTTTGTGGATCCTGTCAGCGGCTGAGAACTGGACAATGAGCCTTCAACTTGTACTTGACTTGTACTTGGCCCTCCTGCTGAGCGCCCAAGGAGCAGCTCCGGCCACTTCCTGCACTTCCCCCAGGCCTCCACAGGAGGGAGGCAGGAGCCCGGCTGGCCGCCTGCAGAGCCCCTGAGGCTGCAGTGTTTGTGCAGCTGTCCCATCCATACCTGCTTTGACTGAGTGGTCTGCCAGGCCTTACCTGGGGTGTGAAACGCTGCGGGGCTTCCTGATGGCTTTGGAGGTGGTGGTGCCCCAAGTCCAGAGCACCTCTCCCTGCTGCTCAGCTCGTTTGTGGGCGCCCGCACAGGCTTCGCTTTGTGGATTGTGTAGAATGTCTCTCCAAGAGACAGCGTCACATTTTTTTCCAGAGAGCAACGCCCTTATAAGAGTGAGGGCCTCGGAGGGTCGTTCTGGAAGACCCTCATTCTGTTCTCTGACCTAAGGTTTAGTCTCCACCCCTGTTCAGAGACCAGGCCGATCTGAGCCTTGGAAGAACTGTCATGAAAAGGCGTATACGTACAGGCAGTGGTTAAAAAAAGAAAGAGAACCCCTCCCCAAAACTCCAACAGTCACTACCGTCTAGTTGATGCCAACTCATGGTGACCCGCTAGGACAGGCTAGAACTGCCTCTGTGGGTTGCTGAGATTTTAACTCAATGGGAGTAGAAAGCCCTGTTTTTCTCCTGAGGGACTGCTGGTGGTTTCGAACTGCTGACCTTGCAGTTAGCAGCCCAGTGCGTAACCACTGTGTCACAGGAAGTTTACCAATGTTAAGTAAATGCTCTGATGAATATTATTGATCACTTAAAAAAATAGCTTCTGAAGTTTTATGATATACTGTGCAAAAATGTTCCCCCTTTCTGTCTCGAGTATCCACTCTTCCTCGGGGCTCTGGGTTCCCAGTGGAAGCAAGCACTGTGGCTGAGGGGCCGTGTGCACCTGGGCCTTTGTGTGGAAGAGACAGCACAGGCCCATGTGGACAGCCTCATTACCTTGCCCCGCCAGAGGCAGAGTCTGGGAGTAGAGGCAGGCCTGGGGCAGAGGGGCTCTGGTAGGATGGGTTGGGGGTGGTAGCAGAGGGGTGAGGAGGCTCAGGACGGAGCGGGGCCATGGGAGTGGGTGAGGTCGGGGTGGGTGAGAAGAGCGGGTCCTGCCCAGGAGGAGGCTGGGCTGGAGAAGGAGAATGTCCAGGCCAGAGGCTGCGGGGCAGTAAGTCTGTATCTGCAGGTCCTAGGGGGATGTCTGGGGCCCCGGGCCAGGGCCCTGGAATGAGTCCGAGAGTTCCATCCGAGGGCCCAGGTGTTTTGTTCACGTGTCCAGGGGTTTGATCCAGGGGCCCGGAGGTTTGGTTCAGCACACCAGGAATCTTGGCTCTGAGTCCCTGTAGTCTGTTCAGAAGTCCAGAGCCAGTAGTTCTGGCTGAAGTACTGGTGTTTCTCTCCAGCAGTCCAGAAGTCCTGTTTGGGAGCTTGTTCAGTATGAGGAAGAGAGAGGGACTGCTTGGGACAGCGGTGGTGGGCAGGGCCCGCCTGGCACAGAGGGTGGGCCCTACGACAAGCAGCAGGAAACGCACCTTTCCCCGGAGCAGATGCTGGAAGTTCAGGAAGATGGCATTGGGGTCCTTGTGAGCTGTGCTCCTGCCCTGTGGAGGAAGCTGAGGGCAGAGGGTGGCCTGAGGCCAGAGACTTGCGCCAGACGTCGCGCCTCCCGGTCTTTGTGGACATGATAGGGGACTGGCACACAGGCTGGATGGCTGGGGGTGAACATTTTCTGGCAAGTCAGCTTTTCTACCTGCCAAATCCCTAGGATCCCACCACCCCTTCATGTCTTCTAGGGAACTGGTTCAAAGAACAAGGGCTGTTTTCACAAACCCCTCAACTGGGACTTACCTGGGTTCCAAGGAGGCCCTGCAGGGCCCCGAGGAGGAGGCGAACCTGTCCAGACAGCTGCCCCAAGAGGGACGAGAGGCAGGTGGGTCCCAGTTGTCCCCGTGCTGCCATCACTCCCTCCAGCAGAAGGGTCACGGCTCCTAGCACGTCCTGTGCCTTGGTCTGCTCCTGGGGGAGAGGGAAGAAGTGGGCTGCTCTTCAAAGGGCATGCTCACAGCGGGCGGGCGGGCGGGGAGCCTGGAGGAGTAGCCAGCAGTGAATCATAGGAGCTGAAAGTTGGACAGGACCAAGGTCCCACCCAGTGCAGGAATTCCTTCAGTCTCTGGACAGTTGGTCATCAGCCTCGGCTTGAGTTACTCCAGTGTCCGTTAAGCCAGCCTGGTGTTCTGCATAGTTTTAGAAAAGTTTCTTGGTTTTTTTGGTGGTGGTTTCTGCCCCTTATACCGAAATCTGTCCTATTACAGCTTTTACTTCTTGGCTCTAGCACTGCACGTCTACTCATTCTCCAAGCACGCCCTAGGGTCACATCCTTTTTAGATCTGCAAGGAACCTGGAGGGGCTGTGGTGTGACAACATGCAGACAAGGGACTCGTTAGGAAGTGACACCACTGGGTACCAGGATGCCACAGGCTTGGCGGCTGACTGAAGACTGGGGGTTCAAGTCCACCCCGAGGCAACTCAGAAGAAAGGCCTGGTGATCTACTCCGAGAAAGGCAGCCATGGAAAACCTTAGGGAGCAGAGTTCCAGTCTGACACACAATGGGGTCACAAAGACTCAGAGTCGGATCAGTGGCGACTGGTCCCTCTTAGAGGGTAGAAAAGGTAGCCTACCACGGGGGCTTCTTTCCTGAGTGCCACTTTACAGCACTGCTTGCTGCACCCAATTGCTCTCGAGGGGATCCTGACATCTGGTGACGCAGGTGTTGAGTAGAACTGTGCGCTCTGGGCTTCCCAAGTCTGCCACCTTTTGGAAGTGGATTGTCAGGCTTTGCTTCCGAGGATGGCTTAGAAGCACCCACCTTTCCATTAGTAGTGGAGTGCTTAGCTGTTGCCGTCACTACCCAGACAGCTCTGTTCCTATACAGGGCTTCTGTTGAACCCTACGATGACTACTTCTCACCAAGCCAAGCAGACAGAGCTTGTTGTTTCTTTGTTTTTAATTTTGATGAAAAAATAGACAGCAGAACATAGGGCCACTCATCAATTTCTCCAGGCCCAGCTCAATAACATGGGTTCCATCTAGCACGTTCTCACTGCCCTCTGCTTCGATTGTTTCAACACCATCCACTTGATACATGACGCCTTACATTTCTTCTCTGTGCTTTCGGCTTACTATTGACCACACGATCTCATACATCTTTAAAACAGCCCAGTGCTCGTGAAAAACACGTTATTAATTTGCTAAATGGTTGTTCAGCTTAAGGATGATTTCAGGGCAGAATCTGGGTTCAAGGTTTGAGGATATTTTTCAGCCACAGACTCAGGAGTTCCTCAGTCTCAGTAGGTCCATCAGGTCTGGATTCTGTAGGTGTTTGAACTTTGGTTTGAAATTTCCCCCCCTTTCATCAGGATTAAATTTGTTGGCTCTTTACTCAAATCATTCAGTAATGATAGTTGGGCACCATTCAGCTCTTCTGGTCTCATGACAAAGGTGATAGACCTGCAGCCCTATTTCTTTTCCAACTCGTGAGGCTCTTTCTGCTGCTACTTCCGGCAGGTAGAGACCTGTGGTATCGTCCATGACTTTTCATAAAGACCCCAGACAGATTTAGCCATTCTTCATGTAATATGCTTTCTAACTTCTCATTGTTCAGGTTGATACCATCTAAACACACATAAAAACTCAGTCCAGTGATTTTGAAAGTATAATGTGATCACAATAGAGTTTTGCAGGAATATTCCCATCATCTGGATTACTGATGCTGAGCATCTCCTAAAAGCATCTTACAATAAATAGCTTTTCGACCAGTCCGGGAGCTCCCCTAACCCCTAATAAAGCTCTTTCTGCTAAAAAAAACATTTAAATAAATAAATAGCTTTTCAAATAGCCACTTTACCCCAAGATCACATGTTAAAGGTAAAGGCCCAAAGTCTAAAAATTCGGAGGCTGACATTTAAACCAACATTATAATGTTGGTTCTGCTTGCTTAATGCTAAGTGAATGTCTTGTCTTAAATGTGCACCTTGCCATAACTACCTTTGCAGTCCACTAAATGAGTTTATAAATAAATAATAAATAAATAAATAAAATAAAAAAAGTTGTTTCTTCTGTAATGGAATATGCCGCGTTTGGGGCCAACTGACCCCTCCCAGATCTTTTCCCATAGGAAGTTGTGGGGTTAGAAGTTTACATGAGAGAAGCAAGGGCCTTTGGGGCATGAACGCAGGAATAGGACTTTACTCAATTAATTGGCCGGATGTAGAATCTTAAGGATCTCCCTGTGAAATTGCACCTTGTCTTGAACCTAGTCTTTTAGTGATTCCGATGATTCCCAACTTTGGGGGCATCTGTGGATGTCAGATCGGCCTTACTTTTTGGCCAATTTAGAAAGGTCAAAGGTATGACAATGCGAGCCCTCTGCCCATCTCTTTGTGGCATTCAGCTGTGAATCTATAATGTGGTGGGGCGGCAAGCCCAATAGGCTCTTGCTCCCCATATGTCATGACAGTAAAGTGTGGGTTGGGTTAGTGTGGCCCAGTGGAAGGCAAGATATTTCTAGGGCACCCAGGGATTTTGAAGAATTCGTGGAGAGCTGTAGGCAACGGATGGAAATGAGATTTAGGAAAACCAAAGGCTTTTCTTACCGTCTGGGTTTTCCATTCTCCCAAGCTGAAGTCCACTGCGGGCAGTCGGACAGGTGTGGACAATGGGTTGAAGTCTGGGCACTGGTTCTGTTGAGAAAGGTTGGTTGAAGGGAGGAAGGAGCTGAAATAGAGGCAGATAGGGTGGCCCAGTAACCAGATGCTTCTGGGAGGAAAATGCCCAGCAGAGCTCCGGAAAAAGGGCTCTATTGAAAATCACAGTCCTTGTCAGGGAGTGACCCGTATTGATGGACAACTTACAAAGGCCAACCAGAGAGGCAGAGTGATGGGACTGGGGAGAGAGGAGAAGTGGGGGTGTCATACCAGTGAGGTGGACAGAGGGGATAGTGCTCAGGGGTTCTCACCAGTCTGCTGTGAAGGACGTGGGAGTCACGAAGCAGTTTATTTAGGAGTCGGGGGTCACAGGCAGGTGGAGCTGGGCTGGACAGCGTTAGCCTTGCAGTTAAGAGAATCATGACCACCGGGAGCAAGTCTTGAATGAGGAGAGGCAAGGTTGAAAGGGATGGATGAGGAAGACGTCGTGGTGGGTGTTGGGCCAGTCATTCCCATCGAGGACCCGTTGAGAAGCCTGGGACCTTTGCCTCTGAGACATTATTCCCGGGGGGATCAGCACCCCCTGCCCCTGCAGTGGGCCGCCTTTCTCTCCCACCCTCCCCCACATTCTCACTGGGCACTGGGCCCCGCCAGTGTGTTCTTACCAGGCAGCCCCATTCTGGCCATGGTGTCGGGCTGGAGTGGCTCCCTGTATGGGGCCTCTCCCCTGAATCCTTCCTGGGGCCATGGAGGCGGTTTGGGCTCTGGCACTTCTGGGTAGAGTGGGGCGGGGCCCAGATGGGCCGAGGAAGGGCGTCTGGTATCTATCCTGCAAGTGACAGGAGCAGTGAACATTGAGTCCCGTTTCAGGGGAAAGACTTTCTGACAGGGAGAACAGCCGCCGCTGGGAGGGTTGGAGATGATGACCAGCCTAGAATTGCTAAAGCTAGGAGGGGTCCCATGCTGGCGATCCTGCACCTGGGGAGTTTCCCCATTGCCAGGGGCTCCCAGGGAATCTATGGTGGGATCGGCACCTCCGAGTGCCCCTCACCCACCACTACGAAGAGCAGGCCAGGCTCTGCACACACACATCTTGATTTCCTTCCCAGTTGAGGGTGAGCGTGGCTGGTGGCTGGAGACAAGCTGCGGTGGGATGGAGGGTAGAAGTGGGCAGTGTGGGGCAAGCTCGAAGAAGAAGGTGGAGAGCGGGCTGTGCTGCGTGAGGAGTGAGTAAAGGGCGAGGAGAATGTGGTGGGTGGGGAAGAAACTAGCCTGTCTTCTTTCCCTTTCTACCACCACACGTACAGCTGCTTTCTCTGCATCCTGAAACCCCTGGTTCCCAAGGCAGAGAGATGGACTGACAACCCTGGGACTTCTGGGCAAGGCAGGTGGCCCAGGAAAGGGCACCTGCTGCAGTGGGAGGGGAAGCATGCTTGAGAGAGGCGGGGCTCTGTGGCTCTCCCCCTTTAAATTCCCACCAAAGTCTCTCCCAGAGCCAGACCTCCCTCCCTGCCCCCTCTGCACCCCCCCTTCCGGTGACTCCACAGGACCCCCCACATGGCTTCCTCCTTTCACAAGTCGTGCAAAGAGGCCCGCACCTGATTCAATATTGGGATTTCCTGTAGGTCTGTCAACATACATGGGCCCTCCTCCCTTGCCCTCCCCTCCTGCCTCGGCTTCCCTGACTGCGTCCCCACCCTCGGGACTTGGAGGAATGGCCTGGTGGAAAGGCTTGGGCCTGTGGTGTCCATTTGTCCATCTGCCCATCTGGAGGCTGTGTACCTCAGCCCTACGTGTGCCCATCTCTTACTTTCCCCCCTGGGCCCATGTCCCCTCTCCCGAGGGCCGAGGGCCGCAGGCCTGTGCTGTATGCCACCAAGTCTGTGATCAATCCTCCTGAAACCAGCACCCCACCCCCTACCCCTGCTCTGTCCTGCTCCTCCCATTCTGGGAAGGCCACACTCTTCTCGACAAAGGTCAGGGCCTGTAGGTTCCAGTTTGCCTGCCCCTCCCCCGCCCAGAGCCCAATTCCCTTTTGCTGCCCTTCCTACCCTCACTTAACCCCAAACCCAGCTTGCCACTCACCGGGTGGAGAAGGGCTCAGGGACCCAGGTCCAGTGCAGGCAGGGCTCTGGGGAGCAGATAGGTAGGAAGACATGTGGTGTTGGGGCACGGCCCCTCACGGCAGTAGGGTCACTGGCCTGCCCGGGTCACTTCTGCCCAATCAGACACTGGTGAGGGCCCCCGGAAGTGACGCCTTCTCCTCCCACCCACGCTGGACGTGGAGCCCCTGCCTGGACCCTGGTCCACTGACAGAGCCTGTCTCCTCCACCCACACACACTGCAGTTTTGAATAAGGGGGTCCCATTTTTTCCCAGGAGGTGGGAAACCTGGGACCCAGCTGGGGGAAGACATGGGTGGGGAGCATAGTTTTTTTTTTCCCCCCAGGAGGAATCTGGCAGGACATTTTTGTCTCTCTGGAGAAGAGGTTTTGTTTTAGACTGGTGGGTTTTTAAGTTTCTAGTTGTCCAAATGTCTTTTCTCTGGACACCACACCTGCTGCTGAAACCCAATAGGCTGCTGCTTCCTTGCTTTTTCTCTATTCAGCACGCCCCCCTCACCCCCAACCCCAGAGGTCTTACTTTATCACTACCTCAGTGGGGATTCCAGTGCTGGCCTATCTCAGAGAACGAGCCTGTTCTGGGGTCAGTGTTTTGGGGAATGGGTTTGGGCAGTCAGAGAAGACTGGAAAGTGAGGTGTGTGTGTGTGTGTTATGTGCTGGGTTCAGCCTGGGCTCTGCTGGACCCTGGAGACTTGGAACACTAACTCTGCTTCTCAACCTTCCTAATGCCATGATCCTTTAATCCAGTTGCTCATGTGGTGGTGACCCCCCCAACCATAAAATTATTTTCATCGCTACTTCATAACTGTCATTTTGCTACTGTTATGAATCTGGTGACCCCTGTGAAAGGGTCATTTGACCCTCAAAGGGGTCACGACCCACAAGTTGAGAACCTCTGCACTAACTGCTGACCTCTGTGCCCATGCCCAGGCTCGCCTCTCCTTGCCCTGTCTTCCCCCCTCTCCCAACTCCTACCACTCCACATGTGACAGGAAGAGTAACCAGGCCCATGTGTCCTTGTCTTAGGAAAGACAGCTGTTGGACCTCCCCCGCAAATACCTCCCTGCTAGCCCCCCTCTTCCTTTGGCCCTGGCTCTTTTGCCTCAACCCCAGTCTCCCCACAGTCTCTGTCCTCAGGGGCCTTCTGGCCTGACCTTGTTCCCAGCAGCACCCCCCCACCCCCCCCAGTTCTTCCTCAGGTCCTCTCCTGCTCCTCCTCCTAAGGATGGGCTGTCTGCTAAGGAGTATGGCCTAGATCCCAGAATTCTCCAGTTCAGCCAGACGAGATGCCTCCTAAGATTAGAAAGGAGGGTGCTGGGGGGCGTGTGGGGGTGGGAGGGGGGAGGGAGGCATGCAGGACCAGAAAACAAGACAAAGGAGGTTGGGGGTGATTGGAAAGGCAGAGGCTCCCTTAGGTGAGAGGGCTGGTCAGCCATGGTAGGATGGGCCTGGGGACAGGATCCAGTAGGGAGGCAGATACAGAAAACCGAAGGAAGGGAGCACCCCTGTTTCTGGTTCAGCCACTGCCCTTGGGAACAGAACCAGGGACATCAAAGACTAAGGGAAAACATTCTTTTTGGTACCTCCGCCAGGAGGCAGGGACAAGGCCAGTGAGGGACCCTAGGCCCTGAGACGGCAGCCTGGGCTTTGAGGGTTCCAGTGGATGGAGGCAGGGGAAGGTCAGTCGACGATCTTTCCTTCACTTTGTGGCCCACGAGGACAAGGATTCATTCCTGGGCAGGACCAGGGTCTTGTGCAGTGGCCCTCCCAGGCCACGGGCCCATCATCTGCCTTTCCTGGTCCTGGGGCTCCTATCCTGGGCCGGACCCCACCTCCTGGTCCAGCTGTCCTGTAGCCGCCAGCAGCGGGGGTGGGGGTGTCCCGGCCCGCCACTCCTCCCCTCTTCGCGCCCCCTAGTTCTTCCCCTCCCCCTGCCATCTC